AGACCAACCTGATGGGCTTAATTACCTACTTTGCAGGGGTTAAGTCGAGATATGATCCTGAACCTATAGTGTCAGTGGTGGCAACACCGACCTAACTGAGTACTTTGTAGGGGTTTGCAATATTAACATAATCCTATTCTCACAATTAGGTGTATACATGTTAAACTTATTCAATCAATTTTCATCATTACCTACCCTTTCCGCGGCCTCTATATAAACACATGAAACCATGCATACGAATACAATGAAAGTTAGCAATAACATATATAGTTTTCAAGATGGTGTTAAAAGTGGAATTACTTTCTAAAGAGATGATGATGAAGCCATCATCACCAACTCCACCTCACCTCAAAACCTTCAAACTATCCTTTCTTGATCAAATCTCACCGCCATGTTTCATCCCTCTCATCTTCTTCTTCCATGATGCTGCTTCAAATGGTGAAGATGATCATCGTGTCTGTTCATCACAACTGCTGAAGCAATCTTTATCGAAGGTCTTAACCCTGTTTTATCCCTTAGCTGGACGGATCAAAGGAAACGATTTCATTGATTGTAGTGATGATGGCGCGCTGTGGGTTGAAGCTCGCGTTCATGGCTTCCTCAAAGATGTTGTTGAGAATCCATTAATGGAGGATCTGGAAAAATTTCTTCCCATAGAGCCTTATTCTAGTGATGATAGTGAGTTATTGCTTGGTGTTAAAGTAAATTATTTTCTTGACGGCGGAATAGCCATCGGGGTTTGCGTGTCGCACAAGATCGCCGATACACACTCTCTCGTCAACTTCGTCAATGCATGGGCTGTCACCGCCCGCGAAGGAGACGCCGGCGGCGGCAAAATCTCGCCGCCGAATTTCAGGTTGGTGACGTCTCTCTTCCCGCCAACCACGACGGACCTGTCCGGATTGCCTACCTTAGGCTTGATAAGGGAAAAGGTCGTCGTCACAAAGCGCGTCGTGTTCGACAAAGAAAAGCTGGCAGCTCTGAAGAAATCTGCGGCGGCGGAGTCGTCGGGAGTGGGAAACCCCACTCGCGTGGAGGCCCTCTCCGCCTTCTTGTGGAAGCATTTCAGGGAGGCGAGAAGGAAAAAATCCCACGACGCTTCCATGAAGAAAATCCGGGCCAGCCACAACGTGAACCTCCGTGCGAGGATGAATCCGGCGCTCCCGGACGACGCGGCGTTCGGAAACCTTTGGAGTCCGGTAAATACTACAGAAACGCCCTGCCCAGAAGACGACGACGACGACCTTGTGTTTCAACTGAGAACTTCCATAAGGGAAATCAACGCGGAATACGTTGAAGCTTTGCAGAACGAGAAAGGGCAATCGGAACATCTCCGTAAATGGTATGAACGTTTGGAAGCTGAGTTCTTGGAATTTACTAGCTGGTGTAGGTTTCCAATATACGAGGTAGATTTCGGTTGGGGAAGGCCTGTTTGGGCATGCACAACAACTTTTCCGTTCAAGAATTTCATTGTATTCATGAGCACCAAATGTGGGCATGGGATTGAAGCTTGGATTAACCTGGGTGAAGAAGATGATGATATATATATGGGAGCAGGGTTGTGTGATCCAATTCATCCAATTAGATAGGCTTATTTAATTTGAATAAAATTAAATATGAAATACTCAAAACTATAACTTATAAGATGCACCAACGATTTACTATATGTAATTTGTTATAAATATTTATTTTATCCTATTTTTTCATATTTAAGTGTTAGTTGTATGTGGGTTTTCCTTTTTCGATTTATTAATGAAAATGTTGTTCTTGCATTTTTCAGTAGTGTTCCTTCCCACTCTATTTTTCTCTCTTTTACTCTTCAACGTATAACTACAGTAAAATTATCACATAAGATTGAACCAACTACAAAAGGTGAAGTTTTAACAATTTTAAATTAATCAATTTCATATGAGAAGTATATAGAGCAAATACTAATTTTGGTCCCACGAAGATTAGCAAAAAGACAGTTTTGGTCCATATGTTTAATTTTTACCAATTTTCATCAACGACTATTGTTTTAGTACCAATTTTCATCCATAACTATTATTTTAGTGCTAAAATTCATCACACTGGGCATCCTTCGTTTAAGACATGCCGAAATATGAAATTATTAAGGGTAGTTTCATACTTTTCAAATTAGGATCCCTATTTGAGCATGAATATAAGAATTTAAGCCCTAAGATCTATCACAACTCGCAGTTTTCCTCCTCAAATTAAGATAGGATGAAAAGGAGAGCTGTGAATTGGGATTGATCTTAGGGCTTAAATTCATTTATTTATGCTCAAATTGGAATCTTAAGTTGAAAAAGACGAAAATGCCCTTAGAATTTTTAAATTTCGAGATGTCTTAAATAGATGGGTGACCGACGTGATGAATTTTGGAACTAAAATAATAGTCGTGGATAAAATTGGTACTAAACCAATAGTCGTGGATGAAAACTGGTAGAAATTAAATATATAGACCAAAATTGTCATTTTGCTAATACTCGTAGGACTAAAATTGGTATTTGCTTGAAGTATATAGTAGTGGGTGATGTTATAAATTCAAACCACATGTACAACATACTCCATCCATGTATTATGCATGCATTTGAGCATTTCCAAATATTGTGTTGTCCCATTCATTAATACATGTGTGTTTTATATAAATTTCCTTTGGAGTTTTACTACATTCTCGTAAAACTTATAAAATTATTTTAAATTAGTTGATTGAGTAGTAGTTATACCTCAGACTCTATTTATAATGTCATTTAAACATGTTTAATTTGTTGACGAATAACAAAAAAAGGGCCATGCCACAATAATGCTCCTATGTTAGGACCAACACATATGTTTTAATTTGAAAATGAAAATGACTAAAAGTATGATGACAAAGAGCAAATTACACTTTTGGTCCTATGACTATAAGGGGCAGGTTAATTTTGGTACGTGACTTTTAAAACTAACAATTTAGTCCTTTAACTATGTTTTTTTTTAGCAGATTTGGTCCTCCCGGCCAAATCACCGGTGAAAATTGGTCGGAAATACGTTTTCCATATTAGCAGCGTTATACATGCTCTGTGTGATGCCCTCTTCCTCATAACTGCTCCGCAATTCTCTTCCGCCATTAATGGCGTAGCTAGCTTGTGGCCGAATAAGCCGCCGCCTAAACCCTCTTCCCCTGTCGTGAATCATTCCGATCTTCCATTCGTCGGTGTACTCGTTGCCATTCTTCCACATATACTTCCATTGGCCGTCCTGTAAATTCCACTTCCAATGCCCTTTATAGTAGTTGCAATTGCTATAGTGTTTCTATCCAAACCCGTTTTTCCGATTTGCAGAGTAACTAGAGGAGTTACCCTTGGTTCAATAACTCAGCAACTCAAAGGCATTCACATTGTTTTTTTTTTTTTTAATTTTTTGAGGCATTCACATTGTTATTAACATATTACATAAGCACGCAACTTCAGGTTTCCTGGTGTTTGATAAAAAAAAAAAATTCTAATTTTCTTGTTTGAACATTGTACTAGACCAGGAGAAGAAGAACCAAGAAGGAGGATGAAGAAGAAGTAAATGACCAATTTTCCCCCAAATTAAAATAATTAAAAGATTCCGACGACATTTGGCCGGTGATTTGACCGGGAGGATTAAATCTGCTAAAAAAAATATTTAAAGCACTAAATTGTTAGTTTTAAAAGTCACGAACCAAAATTAACACGCCCCCTATAGTTATATGACCAAAAGTGTATTGTAATTTGCTCTGATGACACATGTAAATCTATGACCAAAATAATGAAAATGACTTAACCCTTAAAATTGAATAGTCCAAAATTCTCTTATATTTAATGCTATTTGAATTATGTTTTTTTTTTTTTTACAGATGACCAAAAATAGTTATGCCACAATAATACTAGGACCAAATGATGGTGTTTTGAAAAAAAAAAAAAAAAAAAAAAAAAAAAAAAAAAAACGTGGAAGGACACCTATAAATATAGGACAAAAATAGAATTAACTCTAAAATATTATCTCCCCCATGATTTGTTATCATTTTATCTTCAACTTTATAAAATATGTATTTAATATTAATACTCAATATCAAAACCTTAATTATATTAAAATATTTTTTTAAAAAAATAATGGTATATAATTTTTTAAAATTCATAGTTGTAAATTTATATTATATTAAAAGAGTTAATTCTACCAGAGGTCCCTTTGGTGGCAATTCCAAATTTAGTCCCAGATTATTATTTTTGTCATTTAACATTCCAGACTATTATTTTTTGAACACTTATCGTCCTTCTCATGACTTTTTCTATTTTTAGTAAGGACACTTTTGTCTTTTCATATTTTTCTTTTATTATTTTTCTGATTTCAACCGGTTTAATTACTTTAGAACTTTAAGTAACTTTTAATTTTTAGTAACCATATTTTTCAACTGATTTTTTGTAAAGTCCTCGAGATCCCATAGTACTATTATTTTTAAATTTTAATATAATTTCTAAATATATAAATTTTATATATTAATACTAAACATAATAATATTATAAAAGTTGAGTTTAATTGAACCAAACACATTAAGGGAGTATAAAATCCTCTGAAGAGAGTTCTAATTTCATTTCTTCTTTTATAGAAAATAAGGATTTTGAGTATATTATAGGTGGCATCTGTTGCAGTAATTTGTTGTTCTTCTTTTCTTGAGTTGCCATCAGTTTTGTATTGCCATTGTAGTAGTTAGATATAAGTAGGATAGAGATCATTTCCAACTAGTTATCAGTGATACAAAGACTCAGAACTTATTATTTTATATCTTTTATTCATTCACTATAGGCCGGTTTGTGGTTTTAAAATATGTTAGAATGATTCATTTGTCAATTGCAATTGAATCAAACACAGCTCTAAACCTCTCTTTAAATGTTCATCTTTTACAGCATAGGAATGTACCAAAAAGCAAACAAAATAACAGTATCTGTTCTTACTTAAATGAAATAGTATATGATGTTGATAATTTGATATAATGCAGGTTTCAAGAACAAGTGGAACTCAATCAGAAAGGGAGTTAGAGGAATTAAATCCTTTGTGTCCCTTATCCTGAAAAAATTTATTGATAAGAAATGGTGTATTGTCAGTTTGAAACAAACGAACATATCTCCAGTTCACAGACAGACATGTAATATCTCTCGACCAAAAACGAACAAATCACTGCATCTCGCCTTGATTGGAACTATTCTATCAACCACGGTTCTTGAGTTGGTGTCCATTCGCATAATTCTCCTTCTTTGAACCACAGAGCTGCAAAAGGGAAAGTTACAGAACAAGAAACACGGGTTTTTTGTTATCAAGATTGGCTAAAGCAAACGGGAAATTCTTGAATATAGAATTATGTTCCTTTTCATGTTCTTTTTTCGTTTTCGTGTAGTGGCTAAAGACGTTTAGATCAGTGTTAAGTGCTTCCATTTTTATATGGTTCACCGTTTCACAAAAATAAAGTAGAAATCATTCGTTATGGAGTATCTGTATCAAACTCATCTTTTAAAGCTAGAAATCTTATTTAGCCATTACCATTCTGCAGAAATAAGTGCTCATTCCGTAAACTTATCAAATATAGCATACTCAGAAAAGGAATACCTATTTCGCGTTTGCCATTCTCAGGGCTGTCACTTCCATGCACCACATTCCTGCGAATAATCATAAACTCTAGTGTTGAATAGTTCTTATGGATAATAAGTAAATAAAAGATAATAATCAGAGATGCCTGACCTTCCAGTTTGAACAGAAAGGTCTCCTCTGATTGTGCCCGGTTCAGCATTAAGAGGATTTGTAGCTCCTATTAACTTCCGGGCTGATGCAACAACACCGATGCCCTCCCAAGCCTGGCAAAACATAAAGAACCATGCTTTAAGCTCGGGGATTGCTCAGATACTCGGTAAATTCAAACCAGCAAGTTATGCAAAGATGGAAAACAGCAAGAACACTACCATACACACAACAGGACCAGACGTAATGTACTTGATCAGCTTCGGAAAGAATGGCTTCGATTGCAGATCCTTGTAATGCTCCTATCACAATTAAAAACTTCGATACATAACAGTGAAACTCATGTGCAGATGACACACACTTATTACAACTTTTATTACTATCTTTCTCTTCTATCAATATAATCAGGACATGTGACGAGAGCCCGCACAAACAGTTTAATTGGTTCCTGAGTGTTAGATTGTGAACAAGTACAAGGGATCGAGCCCTGACAGCCACATTGGGTGGGTTAAACACTAGTCCTCCCCTCCACTATCTTAACCGTCGCAATATAGGAGTTACATCCAATGTGGTGTGCTCCTCGTCAGGTCCTCCCATCTACTATCCTATCAGGCCGGGATGTGGGGGCTCCCATCTACTATCCTATTATGGCGGGATGTGGGGCCTCCCATCTACTATCCTATCAAGCCGGGATGTGGGGCCTACCATCTACTATCCTATGAGGCCGGGATGTGGGGCTTCCCATCTACTATTCTATCAGGCCGGGATGTGGGGCCTCCCATCCACAATCCTATAAGGCCGGGATTTGGGGATTTGGGGCTTGGGGGCGAGGGAATTGGAAAAATGGGAGTCCATATATCATTTTTCAATGTTAAAAATGGGATTCACAAGCATTCAACCAAAGCTTGAGGAACACAAACCTCTGCCAATTCATTGGGGCATTGAAAGAGCTTTAGCGCTGTTAGCTTAAATCCCTTTCTCTCAAACCTAGAAATTATCTCTCCAACCTACAACAATCAACACAGACAGTAATGTGATAACGTAAAAAGGGCAAAAAATCAAGAACTGAGAATCAAAAAAGTTATAATTATCAAAGCTCACAAGGCCCCTCTGGACACCATCTGGCTTAATCATAATGTAAGTCTGCTGCACTTCTTCCTGCACACGAATCCAAGAAAAAAATGAGTGAAATTCCTCCATGGGTCCTCAAGAAACTTGAAGAATTGAGTAATTTACCAGGGAAGCAACCAAGTGAGGAAGAAAGACATGATTTTTCCGGTGGGTATGAGGGCGAGATGGGGAGTATGAGAAGAGACGGGATACTGGTTTGAATGATGATAGGTGGTGGTAGTTGTTGTTGTTGGCGGCGGCGCGTGCGGATAGGTTCCAGGAGGGAGCGTAGGATAAGGTATTGGGTGACGGGTAAGAAGCAGAGAGTGAAGAAGAAACGCGAGGTGTGGCAGAACCCACCAACGTTAGAGCTTCCATTCTCCGTCTCTGTCGCTCTCTCGCTCTCGCTCTCGCTCGTTTCTTTTTATACGGAGTAAGGATTAGGTATGTGAATTGTCGCAAATGCCCTCGCCAATTACTGTCTGTGTTTGGTTAAAGTATCCTTTGGAATGACTTAGGAGATGTTTGGTTCATGGAAAGGAAAACATTTTCCTTAAAGTGAAGGAAAATGTTGTTTTTTAGTGTTTGGTTTATGGAATTCATTTTTTATTGGAAAACGAATTCTTCGAATTTGAGGAAAACACAATTCTTGGTTGGACCAAGGATTTTGTTTTCTATAAAAGATGGGAAGAAAAAGTGAATAGATTGCCCACTTTACCCTTGCTTTCTTTTTTAATTATATTACTTTTATTAATTTGTAAGGACATATAGGTCTTTATACTCATTATTCCGTACAATTCCAAATCTAACCAAACAATAGAATTTATATTCCTAGTAATTCTTTTTCCACCAACCAAACAATGAAATTCATCTTCCTAGCAATTATTTTTCCATGAAATTCCAATTCCACTTCCCTTAAAATATTTTCCGCGAACCAAACAAGCCCTTAGAGAATAGGATTCTAATTCTGATTCCAATTTTCATTCCAATTCTATGTTTGGTTGAGAGTTGGACCGCAATAATGAGTTGAGAATGGAATTGCAAATTCAATCTTCATTCTCATTCTCTCTCTCTTACCGCGTAATAAAGTTTTATACTTTGTTGTGATAGCATAGGTCAAACGATTCAATAATAACGACGATTTATAAGACGTATTGACTAAAGAGTCTACATAATTAATCCAATCAAAGTATTTATTAATGGTAGTTTAAGTAGAAATTTTACTCTTCTAAACATACACAAGCCTTCAACTACATAAAGGTAGTTCAGGTAGAGCATCACAATTTAGTTCAAATGTATCGTGGTTCAATTTAAGAACATAATGGTCTATTCCAAACGTCTTGTCTCGATTCAAAGGATGGTTTCAATAATTCAACTTAATTCATCTTGATCTATCCCAAAAGTTTAATTCAAACACTTAGGATCTCCTATCAAATCACACTTGTGTACTTTTAGTTTAAACTTAACATAAACTATGTAGGTCCTTTAAGAAAAAAAATAAAAAAAATGTAGGCAATTAATCTCCTACCAATAGGGGTGACCACGGTTCCGATTCCGCAAATGGACAAATTGAAACCAGAATCTTATAGTAAGGTTCCGATTCCAGTTCAGAATCGGCGATTCCAGTTGAAACCGCCGGTTCTAACCGGATTTATTTAAAAAAAAAAAAAAAAAAAAAAAAAAACTATAATTTTTAATTTTTTCCGGCGGTTCCGGTTCCTTTTCATCTCAAACCTTAACCGGAACCATATTTGTTCCGTATATGGTTACGGTTAAGAACCGGAACCGGAACCGTACGAACAGTTCGGTTCCGATTCCGATTCAACAATACACGGTTCAGTTCGAACCGAACCGTTGTCACCCTGCCTACCAGTTAATACATAAATCTTATTTATAATTTCCTTCGAAGTTATATCACCAAAGATGAAGCTAAAAAAGTTTGGAAGAAGATGTTGGGCTCGACTATGGTAGTGAACATAGACTTGACACATGTAAGTCCATTCAAATCAACCAGACCCGTCTGGCTCCGCTCCACCGGGTTGGGTTGTTCCAGATCCATATAGAAGGCAACTTGTTGGGAAATATATGTTATTTTTCTAGTTAAATGAGTTGAGATATACATTTTTTTAGTTAAATGATATTACTTGAACCAAGCAAATTAAAGCGAAGATCGAGGTAAATAGTTGTTAGATTTTTTATATTGATTAAAGAATGTATTATTGTATTAGGTTTATTACACTTCATTTGCATTCGTAATTACATTAATGTGCACAAACAAATATATATACTATGTAGTTGGATGCAGCATAGCACTAAAAAGAGAAAAGACAAGAAAATTAACCTTGCCAGCATTTTGTACACTCAAGACAACCAATTGAAAGAGAAAAACAAATTGGCTTTCTAATAAAGTACGATTTGAAGAATCCAAGAATACACATTATACTAGGTCAGTCCTAAGCAAAGAATTGAAGTCAAGAAAAAGAACAAGAATGCTAATGTACATACAAGGGAATTGAAGTTGGAAACAACATTTTTCTTCATCATCATCATATGCAAACAATTGAAACAAAGTCAAAACCACACCAAGGATAGCTAGCTGCTATGATCTTTGTAATGAGATGTACAACACAAGTTCAGAAAATGAACTTGGGACACCTCCATTTACCGGCTCGCTTTTATTGGAATTAAAAAACTTGCACTTTCCACTAAACCAAGAACGGATTAGTTGTGTTATTTGGAGCTGAAACGATACCGAGGATGTTTTTTTTGGATCAAAGGGAGACTCGATGAGTCATGTCTTACAACAGACACCCTTCCGAGAATGTTTATTGTTTAGCATTTCCAACAAGAGGCGGCCACAATGGGCTTAGAATGCCATCCGAGCACGAGACAACCCTTTTCTTCTGTGACGGTGTATCCTTCACAAGGGCTCGTCTTAGCCAGCCACTGCTTGGCTTGAGCCACCATCTTTATCGGGGCGGCTTGAAACCCGGCCCGACTCATCCTCCGCCGCCATTGATCCACCCTCTCATGCCTCTCCACCCTCGCCGGCCCCTCACAACTCACAATGTTCTTAATCTCCTCCGCGAAGTAGAACTGCTCGATCTTCGCCCGCCTCGTGTCGTATTTCGGCAGCATCGCGTCCAGGGAATCGAAAATGGCGGAGTAGTAGTGCAGAGCCTCCATGAATCTGCCGAGGAAGAAGGGGCCGTTGTGGCCGGAATCCTGCTCCACCAGCACCAGGATCTTCGGCGAGAGCTCGTGGATGATTTGGAGGACGGAGTTGAGAGCGCCGCGGCTCTCCTTCACGACGCGGTGGAGCTGGAGGACGCTGTTCACGGCGAGGACCTCGCCGTCGACGATTTTTATGTCCGATGCTTTTAGGGTTTCCAAATTGCTCTCGACGATTGAAAATTCTAGGTTTATTCCGTGCTCATTTGCGTAGTCCTTGAGCTCTTCTCCGATGGATCGGAAGCGTTCGACTAATGTTCCGACCGCCGTGATTCTCAGGCGGCGCAAGGGGCGGTTGGAGGAGGCGAGGCGTTGGATCAGGTGCCGCCATTGATGTCCATGTGGAAGGCCCAATGTTAGGCCCAAATCCACCACATGAATGAAACTCTCTCCCTCAAGGGCTTCTACAATAGAAGCGTTGGCTATATAATGACCGAATTGAATGTGCGGGCAAATCTCGTAAACCAGCCGGAGCGCTTCGTCCTTCTCCGACGCGGCGTCGCCGGCGGCATCCGCCGGAGTCAGGTACCCGACCGTCCCGAGCGGCTGAACCAGGGCGAGCCGGTCCGCCAGCCCCTGCACGAAGCAGGACGCCACGCGCTGGAACGACGTCCCGAAAACCAACGCGCTGGAGCGTAGCTCCGACAGCAAAACCGAAGCGCGTGACTTGTCCCTGCAAGCCACGGCTTCGGCGCAGGAAATGAGAAGCTGAACCAGCTTCATCCCGTCGGAACTCTCGCCGTTATCCGAGCCGCCGATCATCTCGTCCGCCGCCTGCAGCTCCACGGCTTCGGCGGCGAGGAACCTCTGGCTGTAAGCCAAGACGTGATCCCTGAAGTGAACCCGGGATAAGCTATTCCGGATTTCGTTGCTCCCAAGGCAGTCAGCTATACTCGGTGCTCTCTTCGGCCTCTTACTCTCCAGCATTTCGTCACAAAAAACAGGAATACAACTATCCGCGTTTCTCTTCAGGATAGTAGCGTAAGGATTAGAGCTATACGCCAATTCGTCACTGATAAAACCAGGAGACATTATTCCCTTCTTTAATGGATTTATTAATCCAAAATCTCTCCCTCAAAGGCTTCCACGCACAAGGCTCTGAAAGAACCCTCTCCCTCAATGGCTTCCACAAGGCACTGAAAGAACCCCTCAACAATGGAGGAAGTTTATATATACGTACACTATACATGCATGCATTGAAGAATGGGTGGTCAAAATTATTTATTTATTTTTATAATTTTCCTTGTTGGGCGGGAGCTCCAATGATTTTGGCAAATATTTATATGGTCTATCATTCTATCTCATGAGGAAAAGTCTCCCGGAAATTATGATTTAGGTCACTTTCATAAATATTATTGTTGTCGAGGATGGTACTAGTAACTGGGCAGTAGGCCTGAAAATGGTCGATCGGTCCACGCTCACGAAAGTTGCTCAAACAATTGACCCTCAGCTGTGCCGAAATGGTAGTGGCTTCTCGAGATCCGCTTTATTTTTTAATGATTGTGTTGGCTCTTTACACAATTACACTACATAATAGTTGACAGGCCATTTTAACTTAGTAACATTAAAAAGGAGTTAATACCCAAAATTGTCTTCGACTATAGTAGTTTTTCTACTAATTACTAATTTATCCATGTACTTAACACCCTTTTGACGGATTACCTAATTAACGGAGAACAATATTGAGCAATAACACAAAAGTCTGGGACTAATTTATGACATCAAAGTCGTTTGGGACAAAATTGAGAAAAACCACTATAGTCGAGGACAATTTTAGGTATTAACTCATTTGAAATTACTAAATTATCTCTGTACTTAACACCCTTTTAACGGATTACCTAATGGAGGACAATATTGAGTAATAACACAAAAGTCTGAGACTCTTTTATGACACTAAAATCGTTTAGGTCAAAATTGATATAGTTGAGAACACTCCCTCAAAAAGAGATATTAGGATTTTTTTTTTTAAAAAAAATGGAAATAATCATGTTCCTATATATACCATACAAATAACTGTAACCTCCTTTCAAAAAAAAATAATAATAATAATAATAATAATAATAACTGTAACCACAAAAGGGGACGAAATTTTGTAGTTTTATGGAATAGTCTATTGGCATAGAGGAACATCATAGCATTGTGCAATCGATGTTAGCTTCAATTTATATTAATTTATTCGACGAAATGTATGATTGTTTGATATTTTCTTCAGAGGTTTTTGGAAGTTTGTATGTGATTCTTAGCTCTTTTTACAAACTTTAAGGAGGCTGCCTGCATGCACACATTTTTAGTTAAATTCTCATACGAACTTATGATGTGACCTTAATCATATATAATGTGTGTTTGCGTCAGTACATCTGATTTGAGGCTGTAGCAGTTTTCTTGGAAAAATAAGTTTATTTTAGAGCAACATTATCAATGAATATTGCGGGGAGAATGTCAGATTAATTCACCCATGCTCAAGATTATAACAAATGTGGAGAAAAATTAATTGGGAAAGAATAGATCTGCAAAGGTCAAAAATAATATCAGAAAAGCAAAATGAGGAGGGAAAGGTGTTGTGCGCGTTTCGCGCACAGCAACTGCCCATACGGGCGCGTGAATGCACGCGCCCGACACTGTTATATATATATATATATATATATATATATATATATATATATAGGGTCAGGTTCCTGTGAGATCAGGTCTTCCCGTGCGGTCAGTGCGGCATACACCATTAGGTATGCATAAATGCACTACACAGTGTTCGTAAATACATCATTATGTGGTATTTTTTTTTTTGTGTGGTGTATTTTTTGACATTTCATTTTGGTGTATTTTCGAACACTGTATGGTGCATTTATGCATATGCCGCACTGACCGCACGGGAAGACCTGACCTCACAGGAACCAAAAAAATTATATATATATATATATATATATATATATATATATATATATATATATATATATATATATATATATATATATATAGAATCCGGATCAGGTGAAGACCTAATCTTAGGTGAGGACGTGAGGACTAATCTTGTGCGTTTGTTTTTTTTATTTGGATGGTCCAGATTTGAGTTCTTGAGATGACATGGATTGATTTTTTTGTTAAAGTGAGATAATAGTGTCTTTTTCTATTTTTTTTTTAAGTGTGAACGCATGTATAATCCTTGGCCAAATTGGTTTCCTATTTTCTTGGATCATCACCGTTGCAATTTGGAGCCGCGATTTCTTCATCATTGATTGAGTGTTCGCCCATGCAAACTAATCAGTATTTTTTATTTTTTTCGCTTGTTCTTTTGATTATAATATTGCCTATATTTGGATTGTCGTGTATATGTATAAATGCCTGGGTAGTACGATTGTGCATTTGTGTGTGCTGATTGTGCAACCTAGTGTTGTAAGTTGTGCACTATAGGCTAGGGAGTTGTGCATTATAGCACATAGTTCAATGCATCGTAGAACATTGGATGTTCACTGTATGATTTTTTGGCGAGGTTAGAATGCACAACAATGAAATTATTGATGCACAACACTCAGTATAGGAATGCACAACATTTTGTATAGGAATGCACATCTTTTAATAAGACTGATTTACCCTAAATTTATATATTTTAATATTTTAAAGGGATTTGTTTTCTTAATCCGTGTGATTTGTTTCTTTTAATCTCAATCATACATCATTCTGATTTAATGCTCTAGATTAGTCCTCACGTCTTCACCTAAGATTAGGTCCTCACCTGATTCGGACCATATATATATATATATATATATATATATATATATATATATATATATATATATATATATATATATATATATATATATATATATATATATATAATCAATTTTGTTTTTTTTTTTAATCTTTTTTTTCCTCTCCCCTCCCATCTCCTCTTTCCTCTCTTACAATAACTCCTCAAATAACTCCACCATTGTGGATGCTCTTAATCTTCAGAATAGTTTGCAGTAATTATCTGAAAAGAGTACTCTCAAATCTTAATCTCTCAATTTTACTCCTGATGTGGTAGGCTCTAAACTATTTTTTTTTTTCATGTGGATCCCAATACGAGTGTCTACATCAAGATTTTGTGTGTGGAGTAAAAGTTGGAGTATAAAGTGAGCATAGTATTTTCTATCTTAAAATACGTTACAAGTGAAATCCGACTTGTGACTCTAGTCAGTAAAAGATCACAATAATATAATATAAAATAATCTAGGTGATAATATAACTCTCATAATAAGTTAAATTTAAAATCTTATAATCATCAAATCATTACAAATCATAATGATTAAAAGTTGCTATTTTAAATGATTAAACGGACTTTTATCTCTAGCTTAGACGATTTTTGTGCAATTCTAATTTGAATTTAGCTAAAGGTGATCATTTCTATCCCATTTTAATGTCAAACTATTGTAGTTCAAAAATATAATAATAAAAAATTCGAAATTAGTTCTTTAATTTTAGTGACACGACATGATGACCAAGCTAATTAGTAGTTAGGTATATATAGATATGGTCGTGAATATACTTGTACACCTTTAGTATATACTTATACATACACCTCTAGTATATTGATATATTGATTTATTATAAAGTAACTATGTAAGGCTTAGTTTTAACTAAATTCCATCTTGTCTAGTAGTTAATATTAGATTTTTATTTTTGATAATTTAAGTTTTCTCACTTCGTTAGATTATATTTTTAAACCCCATAAATTTAGATGTGTGTGTGAACGCATGCGTAATAATACTTTTGTGTTTCTTTCAAAAAAAAAAAAAAAAAAAAACAACAATGACAAAGACAACAATTTTGTGTTGACAGCTTTCTTCGAAGTCCTCTTTAATGTCTCATAAAGTTCATCTTTTCATTATTATTATTATTTTTTGGTGTGTGTGCAGATGTAGCCCTGGTTGATCTTGTGATAAAAAGGTGGAATTGTACGGTCCACACATCCTAGCCCGACAGGCCAGATTGTGGAAGGGTACACACTACTGCTGTTAGCTAGACTTACTTTTTGATCGCAAATTTTATTTTCGTGATCAATTGAGCTATTCATACAAACTAGTCCTTGTTGATCTAGAAGTATGATTCACTTTCTAATGTCGGACTTAGAGCTCATTACACTTTTTAAACTTTTAGATCATTGGTCTCATGCCAAGCGGTTTGACTTTTTAGCTTAGGGCCGGCCTCAAGTTTGTACCATGTATATAGTAATTAATTAAGATAAATAAATGCTTACCCGAATCATTCCTAGAATTAGCTCTGTATTAAGTTTGAAATTATATGTTAGCTTAAAGCTTTGAATACCATCCATCTTTCTTGGTGGTGGTGGTGAACAAATTGGATGGTAAAATGTATTGTGATTCTGAAATCTGACTGCATGTTATTAGATGTACTAATATTTTAAGTTTTAATATTAAATTATCATTTTAAAATATTAATTATAACTGTCACATTCTGTAAATTTATTTATTTTTTACTAATAAGCAAAGAATAGAAAAATAAACTATATAATAATAATTACGCTATTTATTCTTGGTCTGCTTGCCGGCTAACCTGAAATGAACGAACAATTACAAAGATTTTTTTTTTTAATAAAAAAAATCCGTAAAACAATAAGACGGCGGCTCATATATAGTTTTTAATACATGATGACAATTTATATGGTGGATCAGGGTCCATATAACATTATAGATCTTGGATCAAAACGACATCATTTTGATATTTAAGCTTTAATAAATTTTGTATTTTTTCATTTTTCATGTTTCAACACAAATTTTACTCTGTAATTTATTATTTATTATTAGTACCTAATCAATACTCTTAAGGTATAGAATTTCATAACGTGAGACACAAAACTAACAACACAAGACATATACACATGTTATATATTTATTATTCTCAAATCTGATTTATATAGATAATATATGTCCTATAGGTACATAATTTCATAATAGACATAAATTCGTAAAATAAGGCACAATATGCCGTGTGTACACAACTACTAATCTATTTCAGGTAGAGTCCATACGCTTAAGGTACAGAATTGCATAACATGAGACACAAAAACGCATAACATAAGACATAAAAACGCATAGCATTGGATAACATAAGACACAAAAACACATAACATAAGACACATACACATGCTTTACAGTATAAAAAAATATTGTAATGTGAAGTAAACAACAGTCGGTCGCTGTAAAAACTAAAATTCAAAATTATTAGGACCATGATGTCCACGATATAACGATTGTTTATACATTCCTAAATCCTAATTACCCTTGCTATGTTATTATTAACTTTATGTATATCAAAGTTCTATAATACCAAAAAAAAAATAGTGGGGTTACTATTATAAATAGAAAATTTGATAACATTTTTGTAAATAATTATTATTTTATTGATAGAAAAATTCAAAACGTAACTCAGCTCCCTTGCTTTTATCATCATTCATGGTAGTTAGAGAGCTCTTGGGAAGGAAATGGCAGTGTAGACTAGTGCATGTCTACCAAGAAGTTAATTTTCGTGCAAATTGGATCACTTAATTTGCCCAAAAATCGAAGCTTTAAAAAAAAAAAAAAAAAACTCCCAAAAATCGAAGCTAAGTAGTAGGAATGATATAGTTCCATGAATTCTTAGTTTTTAGTCTTTCTAATGTATTAAAAAATTAAAAAATTACGGTCCCTTTTTATTTTTATAGTAGTAGGAATGATATTTTTTTATTAATTTTAATAAGTATTGTTAAGAATATTTTTACCGACGTATCACGTATGTAATAAAGGAATCTAAAGGCAGTTTTGGCATTTCATTGATGGATGGTTAGCATTGTGAAAACAACCTCATTATGCCCCAATGATACAAGAAATATTGTTGTACTAATATATATTTATGTAATTATATATTTTTCATCTTTTTACATTGGCCAATGAAATAAAGTATCTTGTGAAGCCAAAAGGGTTGCATTAGTTTAGTATTAAAGGGCACCATCCATGAATTAAGAAAAGTTTATTGTTGCATACACGGGTTTAACTCATTGGTTCAGTAGATAATATTTGAGAGATGAGATGAAGTTTGAAATTCGGCAACGGCAGTGTGGGGATTATGGATTTGACCATGTCTACTGAGCCATTGAGTTACCGTGATATACTCCCACATGTTTTGTTGGGTTAGGGTGGGGGCCATTGAGTTATTGTGATTTACACCCTCCTACATGCCCTATCGGCCTAGGGTGTCGGACCCTTAGGGTTGGGGATTCAACCTTTAGGAAGAAGAAGAAAAGTTTATTGTTGGTGCAAACTCATCCAAGTTGATTGGACAATTAATTTGGTAACTATAAAATTTCAAGTTTGACTCGTCACGGAAGCTAGGCAAATTATATTGTGGACCGTGGTCCAAACGACGTCATTTTGATGTTTAAAAAATCCTTGCTCCGCGTGCGTGTTAGGATAATGAAATTTCTAGACTAAGATAATGTATTTTATGAGTTAGAATAATGTATTTTATGTGTTAAAATAATGCATTTTATGAGTTAGAATAATCTATAATGTATTTATGTGTTTTTGAACCATGGTCCACACAACTGTGTGGACCACGGTCCATGCAATAATGATTGTGGAAGCTACCTATTGGCCTTATTGGTTTGAGTCGGTCAACTATGAACAACTTTTTCCTTGTGATCTTTTACCTGCTAAGGTCACAAGGCAGGTTTCATCCAAACCATATCTTTAGATAGCGGTTGTGGGTTTTCCTGTAAATCACAAAAAAGTTTCTTGTTGCCTTAAAAGGGGTTGTTAAGTAGGTGGAGCATGATTCTCATACTAAAATATCACGGGTTCGATTCTTGCTAACACCTTCTCGATCAAGCTCATCGCATAGAGTTTTTGTAGTGTGATTTACCTCTCTTATATAATTTGCGAGATATAGAATATTACGCATGAGCATGTTTATCTAGCACACTAGGATAATGACTACAGATTTCTCTCGTCACTTAAAAAATAAAAGTTTCTTGTTAGTAAAATTTTTGGTGCTATAAATCATGTCATTTTCAAAAAAAAAAGTTTCTTTTTTATTTGTTAAAAACATACTGCAGAAAACAAGAATAAATCATGTATAATCAACAAATGGCAGTTAAACAGTCAAAATCACAGGATGAGTATAATACTGTTAGAGATGCAGAGACATAGGGTTTGCCTCGTTGAGTTCTAATTTATTATTTTTAGCTTAGTGTGATGTCATGTTCAATATAATGTCAGACAAGAAGAAAAATGACACAGGACTCAGGTTGCCTTCATATAATCAAATTATAATTAGGCATCTTTTGGATCTTCCTTTGTAGTCAAGCAAGAAATTCTTTCATCACCTATGCATATAACACCAAAACAATACTATTTACACTCGAAACATTTATAATTACATATACCGCAACGCTCTTAAGAGAGTTATCCCTAAATAAGACTTGACCAAAACTCGCTTAGATTAATTTTTTCCCGTAAGATATGAATACCTGTTTCAACACTCAACTCATGAAATTTGAGATGTTGTTGGTACTCTAGCAAACCAGTAACAACAAAATGTTATGTGTATTCCCATTTTTTACTCCTAATTTTTACTTCCACACACAAAATCTTGATGTAGACATTTATATTAGAACCCGCATGAAAAAAGTAACTTATCAAAGCCCGACACATCATGGAATAAGATTTGGGAGTACATGTAGTAAAACTCATAAGATAAATACAGACAATTCAATAGTGAAATTATTACTGATAATCTGTTGTAAATAGTAAATTTATGGAAAATAAATAAATCCTGATGTAAAAGAATGGGGGGTGGCAGAGGTGGTTCCAAGCTAATATATTGCAAACAAACAATAATACAAACTTAATCCAATTAGATTAGTATGAAACCACAGGAGGCAAAAAAAAAAAAAAAAAAAAAAAAAAGCATTTCTAGAATTGTGAAAGTGTTTGTTATCTCCAAAAATTTCTTCTAAAAATTCCTTGCCTCTGCACACTTTTGAGCTCTTTCCCTGAAATGTTACCCACCAAGATTTGATAATAAATACACTGACTAAATGATTACATGGATTGGTTTTAATTGAAGCATAAATTTGTATACAAGAAATGACTACTTCAAAAGAATGAAGACAGGATATAGCATTTAGCATTATAGTTGTCTAAAGGAATCAGAATCAACAAAGCAGTCTCGTAATCTGCTAACTATATAGAATTTTCGAATATGTAATTAGTTTCCCTACCAGCTTTGTATAAGAATAAGACAAATAAAATAAATGCAGGATATGTGCCATTGAATAGTTTTGTCTGATCAATACTATAATTAAGACATTGAAAGAGAATAACCTGTAAGTCTTCCTGCCTGGTATAGTGCTTCCTCAGCAATAGGTCTCCACTGCTCAGCAACTGAATAATTAATTCCTAGTCCGACGCTAAGTCCTCTAAGTAGATGTACTGTGCGAAGAACAGAAAACAGTTCCTCCGGAAACGCCTACAATCAGACGAGAAGAAATTTCAGGCCTTGATGCCCACATTCAGTCAAATAAGAAGACAGATATTCTCATAGTTCAGATGGAATTTGATTTGAATCCAACCAATTTATAATGCCTTAAGAGTTAAAGAGTCATAGATTTCATATCTAAGCATATTGAAATTTGTGGCGTGCGAAAAAGAATCCTTCCTCAATTACATATCCATGTTTCTGTCACATGACACCCTAACCAACCTTGAGAATATTGGAAAAGAAGTGCAAAAAATATGATTGTGAAAAGTTAAGAACTGAAACTCTACAAATAAATTAAGTATAAGATATTCAGAAAATCAAATGCCCAACATTATCCTCATCTTCAAGGGTATAGCAATGTTAACAAGTAACAACTATCGTCTAAGAATTTAGAGCATACCTGAACACCAATTTTTTTAATTGAAGATTCTTCAGAGAAAGGTTGAAGCATTGTCACGCCAGGGGGTAGTTTTGTATCAAACATAGTTTGTGCCAGTTTAAACAGCTCATTTAGTTCATCCTTGCATTTGCTCACGGTGTTTATTCCAAGCTCTCTACCATACAGATAGAGAGGTATAAAGTAAGTATTTATGTGTATCTGTCACCCAGCAAAATCAATAAAATAGTTGCAATGCCAGTTCTTCATTTCTGCAATATGTTGCTAGCTAGACATTGGAATATTGGAAAGAAAGGATCAACTTAGTACACTTGTTTTAGTGGTTCTTATAATATCTTTCCCAGTGTCTGATGTTGATTAAAACTAGAATGCAATAGTATGCATTTGTTTGGCCTGGAGCTTCTTGAAAAAGAGGCTTTTCTAAAAAGCCTCAACTGTAGAGCTTCTTCACAAAGAGACCTTTTGCCTCTTATAGTCTTATTATAAGCACGGAGAAAAGCACTCATTTGGAACAGGAAAGAACTAAAACCATTCAGATGGGAACAGGGAAAGGAACGGAAATTCCACAATAAATTTTGATACCTGTAACTCTGTAGGGCCTTCACCTGGTCATTATCAGCAATAGCAAGAATCAAGTTAGCATATCCTAGCCTCAGATTCTCAGGAAGATCCTTCACTTGCCCATAGTCAAGCAAGGCAACCTGAAACAAGTTACTGGTAAAATAATAATTATGTTGAACCAAACAATATATTATATGGAAATGATTACATAGAAAAAGTTCAAGAAATAGAGAGGTTTGAAATTTTCCAAGAATTAGAAGCCCCACTTGCCTCAGAACCTTTACAGATTAAAATATTTCCAGGATGAGGATCTGCGTGAAAGAAACCACTCTTTAGTATCATTTGCCCATATGCAAGTGATAAACTTTTAAGGATATTCCTGCATAAAAAATAGAGAGTAAATTAATTAATAATATATAAAAGCACAAACGCCATTCTCCAGTTCTTTTCAACAGAGTTGTCAAACCACAGCACAAGAAGATGTTCAAGGTTTAGTACTATGCCCAATCCTTGTGTTCTTTCGAATGCCCGAAAGGATGGTCAGTGGTCACTAATAAAAAGTTGGTTAATTACACATTTAGAGAATATCTTTTTATGGCCATCATAAAAGTGCTGTGATATGATTTTGGCCAATTTGTTAAACATTTTTAGAACTATGTCCACCTTCCAGAAGGACAAGAACCTCAAATAGAGCAGGAGTCTTGTTTTAAAGGAATAAATGCTGCGTCAACTCAAAGATTGAAAATTTAGGTCATAGCATAAAGGGTAAGATTTAGCAACTGTAGATTTCTTCTTCTCATCCTCCTCCCTTTGTCTATCTTTTTCTTTTTTTCTTTTCTTTTCTTTTTGGATAGGTAGAAAGGATAGATTGCACAAATGCATGCATCTTCAAACATAGGGAAGTTTGTAGCAGTATATTTAGATTTTAGAAGCAATTCAGAAAATAACTCCAAATTTATTTTTAAAAAGTAAAAGTTTACTGTAAATGAAATCAACATAATAGAGGAAATGCTTTCAGGCTACAAAACAGCAAACAAACTTAACAATGGCAAAAGAATCGAAAGATATTGCAGTACAAGCATATCTGCTGCACAAAAATCAATTGACTTGGGGATCATCCACATTCAAACAGTACTTTCATATCTATCCACGAAGGACACATAGCAAAAAGGACAGAGACCAATGGAAGAAGTTAAAAAAGAGCAATTAGTCAGACGCATTAAAGAGAGTCCTAATCTGTTCAGTAGGAGAGAAGTTCAATGAATAATGGCAAATATGTAGTGCAAATATGAATCTATAAGTGACTATAACTAAGATCAAAAAGAATTTCACACTGGCAGGGATATCTGGATGCTTACTGCTTTGCAGCTACTGCCAATCTGCCACTAGGATTTATGCCTCTCTTTGCCATTTCGTCCCCCATCTTTAGAATTGGTATTCCATCAATATACTCCATAACTAGAACCCTCCTATTAAAAAATCAAAAAAATGATCACTCGGAGGGATAATATAGCTATTAACAGCTATATATATATATATATATATATATATATATATATACATATATATATATATATATATATATACTTACAAACTGAACCATAAACAAATGCCAAATACTAAAAATAGTAAGAGATGGGCTGATGGGGTAAATGTGTTATTTGCACTTATTTTGACATATTTCCTGCTTACTACTGGACATCACTTTCTGTGATTTTTGTGTGGTTTTTCAAGTATATAAATATTGTGGACTCTTGTGTGCAAGCCATGTCAATCTTAACATGTGTTTCATGTTTGAGTTCAAAGTTAGGAATTCCAGATAAAGTAAATGTTCTTCACCTGAACATACCTGCTGACCATATCTCGCATCACCCGTGGCACCAGAACTGGTGACTTCTTGTTATTCTTGTATAGAAATTTTTGAATTCTTTGCATAGCATCAGCCTCCCTCTTAAAGTCAAATTCATAACTAATCTTAAATGCCACAAATAAAAGACACTTTATTTCAAAAATGATTATTTCATAAAAGTAGGGGGGAAAAAAGGTCACAATACATTGTGCTGCTAAAAATGAAAATGATGATAATACAAGATGCAAATTTGATAAATTTGGGACCTGTTTCTCCATTTCCTTGGTTACAGAGAATAAATCAAACATGATATCTGTCTTTTGCATGTATAATGCAAAGGCTTGAAGGTTACGGATATCTGTCATCATCAGTTCTTGAACACCTGGATGTTGGACCTACAGTTATATGATACTCCATAGTTAATAACGTATCTACATAAGTTTTAAGGAAGCACCCTTAGTCTTACCTTGACAACAACATCATTCTTGTTGCCTCTAAGTCTAGCACGGTGAACCTGAAGATTTCAAACTTAATCATCGAATACTAACTTCAAGATAAATAAACGAATCAGAGGATTGAACTATTAAAGAGCTAGAAAGTGAGCCATGATTGACATCTGTCTGCAAATCCATTTGTTAATAAAATAGCATTTTTTATCCTCCAATTATGAGGATAAAGTTATTTACATCCTTAATGGTTCCACATAACCACATTTAGTCCTCAGTTGAAAGGGGTAAAAATGTAAAATGGTAAATTCACACATTTTCTTCTTCAACCTCCATCCCTTCAGCCACCGTCACTGCCACCACCTCCTCAATGCTGGCCACTCTAAACACCCCTTCTTCATCTTTCCTCAACTTCCCAGTCAACTGGTAAAGTTCTTCCAAATAAAACCCAGCCCATCCTTCAACTTCTCCACAGTATCCTAAGACTCACCAAGACCACCTTATTTTTAGCAAAAGCAAAGTACTTTTAGAAATTAATTTTGCCAAAAAATGATTTTCGATTCCAATTTCAGAGCATAACAAAGGCCTGATAACTGCTTCAAAAAAAAAAAAACAACAACAACAACAAAACAAAACATTAAAAAAAAAAAAAACAAAACAAAACAAAAAAAAAAAACAAAACAAAACAAAGGCCTGATAACTAAAGTCAAAACTAGGGCATTCCAGCCAGGTTTTGTTAAAGTTGTCCCCACCACTTCCATCTTCCTCGTTCAACAGTTAAAGGCCTATTTAGTTTGGAAAAAAAATTTCCATTCTCCAAAAAAGTAGGTCCCGCTTGTAAAAGATTTTATAATTAAAGAGGAATAGAGTAGGAAACACAGGTGTTCACTCACATTTTTTAAATGGAAGAGTAGAAGACCACTTTCCAACATAAAGAATACAAATGGAAATCCAGCCATTGAGACAAACAGAATCCAACCAGAATTGGAAGAGTTCATTGGCATTGATGGAGAATTTGAGGAAGATGAAGCAGCATTGGTCACTGGTGTTAATGTATTCTGTCAAGTGAGGGAATGCTATTCTCCCTTAAAAATAAAATATAAATTTTTTTTTTAAAAAAAAACTTGGGATTTCAAATGATATCTCCTTGTACTAACCATGGGCAAGCCTATCCATGGCTTTTGATTGTTGTAAATCTACAACCTGTGTAACTTTGCTTTGTCAATATTATCGCTTGAAACCTCTTTTTTTTCCATTTGAAACCTCTATTGCACAGAGTCAGAGTTGATTCACAAGTTAAAGGCTTCACAACATTATCGGACATTCGGACTATCCATTCAAACTAGACTTCCAAGCTTAACTAGTACTTTAGAATTTAGCACAATCCTTTAGCTATTCTTGAGTCCTAGCACCGAACTTTTGTTGAAGAGTATATAACGGCAGAAACAGGTCAAATATAGGACTGTTAATTAATAGCACTCATCATTGAAATTGCACTTTTAGCCAAGCAGCGGCAATAGCTCTATGTTGAAGATATCAAAAGATGATAAGGGAAAACCTGTGCAATGGAAGCAGAACCAAGTGGTTCCACATCAAATCGTTCAAATAGGTCATCAACACTTCGACCCAACTCCTTCTCCAGCACTACTTTGATCACACTATATGGCGTAGCAGGGGCTTGATCGCAGAGAGTAACTAGCCTTCTGACCCATGCAGCTGGAGCCAAATCAGGCTTCCCAATAATTTGAGCAATCTAATACCAGTAGAAAGTAAGATTCAATCTCACAAAGAGAAACGTCTATTGAGCATAGAGTGAAAACTAACCCTAAGGTAGTTATACAACAAAATCAACAGACCATATTTGAGATATTTATGAGTTCAAGTTATACATATAATTCACCAGACCAGATTGAGATATTTATGAGTTCAACAATAAATGGGAGTAGGCAGAGAAAATGACTGGAAGTCTGGAACCAATGTGAATATATATATATATGTAACCTAATATCTTTTCCATCAAATAGATTGTTTTCAAACTTTCCCTGACCAGAATACCAAACAAAAAATTCCAGCTAAAAATTTTGCAAGTACCTTTAGGAAAAAGCCACCGAGCTCAGAGCACATGTTGTATATCTTCTCTGCAGCAAGCTCATGCTGCCTCTCCCACATCGCCTCCTGCTTCTTTACATCCTTCTCAAAGCACACTCTCACTTGAAACGCCTATCAACAAAAAGAAAAATTATATTAAGAAAATCAAATAAACATAGCTCCAATTGAGCATCATAACTCTAAAGAATACAAGTGCTCATTGCGTACATATAAAGTTCAATCTTTTTTTTCATTTCCGGAGGTTTGGGGTTTTGCTTACTTTATAACCAGTGTAGATATCAGCAGTGCGAGCCCAGAATTGGAAAGAACGTTGCCATGGTCTCAGCTGGGTTGAAAACTTTTCTTGGAAGTCCTTGAGATCGAAATGGACAAGCATGGCTATGCAACAGGAATATGACTAACTAATCAGAAATAGCTATTCCGCTGTGCAACGGGTCTGTGGGAATTGAAGTTTTGCGCATTGGATCCACTCAGGAGTCAGGAGTCAGGAGTCAGGAAGCCGCTCTTAGAAACAGTAGCCGCTTAAAGAACCGAATAAGGGATATTAATACAAATAGAGAGAGCCAGAGAGGCATACAAGGTGTTTGACGATTTGTGGCTGAGAGTAATGGACAGTTAACGGAAACAGCAGACTAGAGAGTGACGATCAGTTTGGATATATATGGCAATTGGAGTGATATATCATATATGTGACCTGTGCGTCACAGCTAACATGTTCTACGGCGGAAGTCCTATTGATCTGTGAACCACTTTATGTTTTCCGTGTTAAAAGATTAATTCCAGCAATGGTCCTTTGACTATATTAACTTTTTAAAATTAGTTCCCAATTTTTAATTGGACACTTTAGGTTTCTTCATTTTTAATTTTTTTTTCAATTGAGGTCCTTTTGTCAAAATACAATTAATTAAACTTTAAATGAATGAGTAAACTTGTCCTTTCATCTGTCTATGTATTATTCTTCGCATTTCGCAGCTATACCTTATAAACATCTCAATAATAGAGGAACGCACACACGAGCAATCAGCAAATGGGGAACGACGAAAAACATTCTAGGACTTCGACTAAGATTATCTTCATATATATTGCTTATACAAGGGAGAAATACGAAGAATAATACATAAGCAGGTAAAATGACGAGTTTACCCTTTCATTTAAAATCCAATTAACTGTATTCTGACAAAAAGACCTCAATTAAAAAGAAATTGAAAGTCAAGAGACCTAAAGTGTTCAAAATATAATTCAGGGACTAATTTTGAAAAATTAATATAATCAGAGGGAAGACCATTGCTGGAATTAACTCGTTTTAAAATATAATATACTTTCACAACCTATTGACTCCCGTTAATGGTTTCATAATAATAATTTAACTATTACAAGATTTTTTTCATAAGAATATAAACACAACGTCAAATTTGAACACAAGTGAAAATAAAAATTGAGCCGGATATGAGTATATGACGCATGTTGCATACTATCTCAAGTAATGTCCACGTGTTACGAAAATATAAATATGGGGTATAGGTGATTGCCCTTTCTGAGGAGCCAATCAATCCAGAGAAAGATGGTTGGAAGTTAAGTGTGATGGCTACTTCTCACCAGCAAATTCTATTCAATTAGCGACGCATCTTTGCATCCACATATTTAACAAGGCAAAGGAAAAGACAAAGAGATTCTATTACTGGGAAAAACCTCACATCTCAACATCTTCATGGTTACCTTTTCTTTTTCCCCTGCTACAAGATAGGTTCACTGAACTCATTAAACAAAATTCATTTTACAAATCCCTGCGTGGCGAAACCTTTCCCTTCCCAGAAATGTTTAAGTATATGGCGTTTCAACATCGCTGAAGTCCCAGTTATCTTCATCTGATTTATAACCCTCCTCATCGTTCCGAGTTTCAGCTATACCTTGCTGTTGAATTCTTGGTTGGGGCCGCCTGATAAACAGAGAGGGCGAAAAGAACTGTTAATCTTTTGTCACTGCCTAACCATTTTCCAACAAATAACAATAAGAACGCTGAAGAGGTATACAAGTTAGACACCAAATGCAATGCTTTGAATCCAAAACGCAGCAGTATGAGCTAGAGTAAAGCAACAGAGAAATATGGTTTTGAGAATTGATGCACAAAATGGTATACGCGACTGCATTAATACAATATCATACATGCTTTGAAACACTCTGTCTAACAAACCTTTAAATCTGCCAAAACTAAAGTTAACAAGTACTGCAGAATAACGGCCTATAAGCAATTCACATCTGCTAGTACAACCGTACAGGCAATAAGAAGTGTGCTAAATGACAAAGGGTAGATACAATTTAAGTAACTATTACACGATAAGAGGATTCAATGTCAGGATGCAGTATTACAGTTAAATTTGCCAATCTTTTTAAAGTTAGAAGCAATTGCTCAAAGTGAATGAGTTTCATTCTGATCTGTTGAAGAAATTTGACTTGGAGACTGAAATGGAAATACTCCATGCATATAAAAATTACAGAGTATATAATTATTTTCAAATTTGTCCATTAATTCAAAATTTTAAACTTAAAAAATTCCATATGACAAATGTGAAGTTTCCATCTAACATCCCACGATCCCAGTTTTCAATGATCAAGGCAAGAATGAGCCAATTGGCAAGGGCTATAGATTTAGTAATCAGTGCTTCACTTACCTGGGCCTCCTCTAAGACATCCTTTCATATCAAATAGAATTTAGAGGCTTACTTTCCACAAAAAAAAATAAAATAATAAAATAAAATAAAATTGGAAACATTTGTTGTTTGAAAATGAAATCATCTTTGACTAAACTAGACACAAGAGGTTCTATGCTACTATGCTCGTCACTCTTTAATTAATCTTTGAGGCCTTCATTTCTTGGTTTCAGTTTTCCAAAAACTTATGAAACTAGTCTCCCACATTTATGAATCATAACTTAGGAATACTACTCCCTGTTATCCCTTATGTTAGCCTTTTATATTCATCCCCTTTGGTTTTTACAATGGCTTCCAACAATTTTTATTTTTATTTTAATAATTTGATGTATATGCACCGGTAACCAGAGAAATATCAATGATGTCTATGATGACAAATAATCTGAAATGTTCACACTCTGAAAATTATTGTATCTGGCAAATCCAATATTCTTCAGAAATTGTCTTTAAAGTAGAGAGTGTAATCACACTTACTATATCTGGCAATTATCTATAGTATCTTTGTAATGGAATGAAAAGAATGATTAGATGAGAATATGAGATAATGTCTGTAGGAAGGGAGAAAACCAAAAAAAAAAAGGCATTTAAGATGTAGCAGACTAGCAGCAAAGTATGATTCCTACATACATGGTCCAGAAGCATTCTGACACTCAAAAGCTTAACTACACTTTACCTACAACTTCCAGCACGAATCTACTCACGGTTAAATGCTTGAGAAGCAGAAACTTCGAGAAACCCGAGAAATGATGAAAAAGTTTAATGTCATTGGTCCTTAGCGCAGAACAAAATTTATTGTTTTAGAGGAAACTCAAGTCCAAAATTTTCGGTGCGTATAGCTCCATCTATAACTCTATAAGTAGAAGTTTGCTTCCCATTTCATTTATACGAATAGCATTTCATACATATATAAAGTAGTTGCCTCACAGGCTAGACTCCACTTTCTAACTAAACCGCTCCAACCAAATGCCAAAACACTAGCAGTCACACAACATGCAAAAGATGAGAGAACCCTAAACTCCATTATTGGATCCTTTTATTCCCCGCCAAAAACGGTGTCCACATTACAAAACTAACCACATCCATCACAACCCAACTTCCCTAAAGAAAATTCATGTCTAAAGCTATTTCCTTTGATTTTTTTTCCTTTGTTATTTTCTTTTCTGCAAACTGCAGCTGCAGTTCTCTTTCGTTGTTTCCACTGCTCCTTGCAAATTGGCTAAAACTAGAACTGCAGGTTTTTGTGTGCTTTAAAATAATTTTAGGAAATGCTTCTAAGACAGCCTATTTTTGGAAAAATTTGTGCTAATAATGGCTCAATCTGAGCATACAAAAAATCTTCCAATTGAAATTCCAGAAATTAAAATAGAAGATGGATTAAATACCAACAATGACGATAATAAACAGCATTTATAATCCTTAGAATATATATTAGATATACATTGAATGATTTATACGGCTGAAGGGTAAAGCATTAACCTCATTCGATTGCGCCTGGCAGCATCACGGGATTTGCGTTTCTTCTTCTCCTGAGTGGTCTCAAAGAACCTCCGGCGCCTACATTCCCGTATAATCCCAGCCCGGCTGACCTCTCGGCGTAAGCGGCCGAGAACTCTCTCTCCCGGCTCGCCCTCGCCGACGATGATCCCGACGTTGCAGTATGGATCGAACAAAGGGTCATTGGAAGGTGGGAATGAAGGAAACGCGGCCGAAACAAGCGAGCGACTATGGTGGCTGGTTTGGGTTACTGGGAGCAAGTTGGATGTTGCTTGTGAAGCGGAGAGAGGGCGGAAATGGAGGGCGGCGGCGGCGGATGTTAGAGAGAGCTGATCGCCGGATTTTGGGCGGGAGTTTATGGGAGAAGGGTTTAGGGGAGAAGGGAAAGAGATGGACCCGGAGAACGACGGTGACAACGAGTAGACCATTGTTGTTTTCTTCGTTCTTCGATAAGTTTTAGCGGGCACAAATTATATAACTCATCTAGTCTCTCGACTTATTTTACTCTACAACATGTTTGATTATTGATCTATAATTTGTTGGCCGTTTGGTCTTTCTCCATACCTTAGGGTGGTTGAAGTTATATGATGTTTTTTTTTATATATATATTTTGTGGAGGAAGAGAGGCCAAGCCTCGGGTTATCGAGGCTTATCTAATTCTACGAGTGTAGGCTCTTCCTACGTCACGTCTGAGAAGAGCGTCGAAGCCCTCCGGAGCATCAACAAAGGACCAAGTGCCCCAATCCTTGCTTTGAGCTAAGTTCGCCAAAAAGTCGGCGCATTGATTGTTCTCTCTGAACGTATCTTGAAGGCAATTCCATCAAAATTATTAACCATGCTACTGCAGTCCGCTAGAAGGGTGCAGCTGGTATCGTCGATCTCATTGTCCTTCTGCAACAAGTCCACCACTGATTTGGAATCCATCTCAACAATTATATTTCTAAACCCTTTTTTAAGGCAGAGCCGTAAATTCTCCCTTAGACCCCACAGTTCTGCCTTGAAACATGTCGTAGTACCAATCTTGACCGTGAAACCCCATACCATATTTCCAGAAGAGTCACGAACCAAGCCACCCGCTGTCCGCTGAAGCCATCCTCGACTCTTTCTTGAAGGCTCCGTCAATGTTAAGCTTGAACCAACTATACTCTGGCGGCAACCATTGCACCAGAAAGACTTAGCGGCGATGAAGTTATATATTGTTATATTTGCTTGGAAATATAATCTTCTTATTCTCTATTTAAGTAAAGTAAATTTTTTAAGTGATGTAATAAGATTTTTCAGTCAAATTTTTAGCTATTGGAAAATAATATGAAATATTTTTACTCTTTTTTTTTTTTTTTAGGTATTTTCACATTCTTTTGTATTATTATTAATTTTATCATTTTAATTCATATATTTTTCTCTACCTAAGAAGTGAAAACATAAAATATTTCTCAAGTTCAAATTTTTAATTAATTAATTTTAAATTATTTATTTATATATTTTATCATTATTGTCTTATATAT